GGCTCACCTGACTCAGGGCAGGCTGGCCTGGCCCCCACCTGGCCGGGGGTCTGGGCAGCCGTCAGAGGGCAGATGTGGCGTGGGGACGCCGGCCCGTCTCGGGGCCAAAGGAGATGGTGCCCTGCCCTGCTCCGGCAGGTGTCGGACAAGTTCGCCTTCGGCCTCTTCGACCTGGACTGGGACGTGTTCACCCAGCACATCGCCGGTGCCGTGAACCGCGTCCCCGTGTTGGAGAAGACGGGCATCAAGTCCACGGTCTGCGGCCCGGGTGAGTGGGGGCCGGGAAGCCGGGGCGCGGCAGCCGGGGGTTCTCCAAGCTGATGACCGTTGGTAGCAGCGGTGCCCGTGCCCGCCCGCTGCTGCTGTGCCGGGCGGGTCCCAGCGCCGTCCCGGCTCCCACTGCCGGCTCCAGCCGCCCTGGCGCGGACGCCGCCTCTGCTCCTCTCTGCGAGCAAAGAGTGGAGCAGGAGGGCAGCCACTTGCCCCGGGGATGCACGCGGCCAGGGCTTCCTCCTCCGGTGTGACCTCCTGGCGGCAGCCCAGCCTGGGCTCGCCATCCCCGGACGCGACCCGGCCCTGGGCCTCGGTGTTTGCATCTGTAAAATGGGAATGGTGGCCCCAGGCCGGCGCCCGGTGAGGCTGAGCGAGGAACGGAAGGGACCTGTCCTGACGGGATGGTCACGCGGCTGCAAGCCCAGCCTCGGCTCCCGCTGCTCCCCGAGTGCATGGCCCGGCCAGGACCCCTGGCGGCCTCAGCCCTGTTCTTGGGCCTCACCGGCCCGCACCAGCAGGGAAGGGCTCCCGTCCGTACCTAGGCCCCCTCGGCCTGGCCCCCTCGCTGGCCCCGGGCTGCGGCTGGGCTGGAGGGCACCGCAGCGGGCAGGTAGGCTCAGCCCCTACCCGCAGGCCGGTGCTCACAGGGCGCCGAGGGCCCCGCGCCGCGGTGGGGTGCAGGGCCGTGAGGCCGACAACCTGCCCTCCCGGCAAAGGGGTGATCTCTGGGACGCAGGAGGGGCTCCCAGTCCCGCAGGGGAGCCCCGGGCGAGCCGCCGACCACAGCTTTTGGGGGCTGGGTGCTCTGACAGGGAGGCCCGGGGTGGGGAGGCCACAGCCTGGGGACGCAGGGTAGGCTGCCTGGAGGGGGCACGGCCCAGCCGAGCCCTGAAGGCTGAGTTGGCGCTGTGCCAGGTGCGGGCGGAGTGCTCCAGGCAGGGGGGCAGCAGGTGGACGCGAGTTCAGGTGGAGCCCCCACCCCCCACCCCCCATCATGGTTCTGGCAGAGTCACGAGGGTCCCCCTCCTTCCTGGTAGGGGGACCTGCCCCCACTCAGGGCTGTGGAGAGAGAGGGTCTGAAAGATACAGTGTTGCCCCCAAAGGAGGCTTTGTGTCCGGGCCCCTTTGTGCCTCGGTGCTGCCATCTGTGAAATGGGAGATGGTGCCGGTCAGCCAGGCAGGCTGGGGAGGGGACACGGGTGCGGGGCCAGCGGCTGCAGTGGAACTGGACACAAGCACGGGTGTTAAGGAGCTCGCCCGGGTCCTGCAGGGCAGGAGTGGTGGGGCCAGGACAGGGCGGGGAAGGCTCCGATGCCCAGGGGGCTGTGGCCTCTGTCCCGGCCCACTCGGCCTCTTCCATCCACTGGGCGCCGGGGCAGCCTTGGCCGCGAGGTGCAGCTGCCGGTGGGGGGTTGGGGGGCACTGCAGGCGCCAGTGCGGTGTGCGGGTGCGAGTGGCCCTGAGGCCGTGACTCACGGCCCCCACCCCCAGCACACCCTGCCGCGTGGGACCGGCGGTGAGAAACGCAGGCCTGGGAGCGGCTCTCGTTCTGATTAGCCCGGGGAGCGTTGCCCCCGAGAAGCCCTCTTTCGAGGAGACGTGCGTGCGAGGATGTTCCGGGTCTGGTCTCCCAGCTGGGCTGGGAGATTTCCTGGGAAAATCGGCGTTTCTCCTCGGCAGGCACTGTCAGTGGCCTTTGGCCTGCAGAAAAGGGCAGGGAAGTCTCAGGCCCCTTGACTTAGGGGGACAAGGGCCGGCAGAGCTCTGGTCTGGGACTGGGGGTCAGAGCAGTGGGGGTGGGAGCCGAGAGCCGGCCCCGCCCTCACTGCCCTGCATGTCCTGGGCTTGCTCAATCCCGCTGAGTCATCTGAGAACCATCCCGGAGACCCTTGTCCTCGCAGCTGCCCTCCCGCCGGCCCCGGCCGGCTCTGTCCTCCGGCTCCCTGGCAGCTGCTCAGGGCCCCTTTTGCCTGCCCTGGGCAGCAGATAGTCCCAGCCCTGCCGGAGTGCCCCGGCCGTCCCCAGGCCCCACCCAGGCTCCCCTCTTCTTCCCAACGACAGCGCTGCCCACTGAGCCCCGTCTCCGGCCGTTCTGCCCTCTGCCCGCGCCCCTCACAGCCCAGCCTCTCACGTCCCCGGGCAGCTCCGAACGCTCGGCCAGGGTCTCTGCCCTCCGGGGGCCCCTGCCCTTGGACACTGAGCGTGGCCCTGCCCCTTCGGCCTGCAGCCGCCCCCTCCTGCTGCCTGGGAGCTTCCCCATGGCTGGCTGTCCCCCAGGGGGCCGCGCCCCGGACACCCTCCAGGGAGCAGGACGACACTTGCTCCTGGTCCAAGTGCAGGGCCGACCACGGGCTTGGAGCACCAGCCCCGCCGGCCACCCCCGTTCCCCCACGCACAGAGAGACCAGCCCGCATCAGACCCGACGCCCCGCAGTGTCCCTGATGGTACTGTAACACACTGGTGATGAAGGTGACAGTGACCATAGCGGGTTGCTGGGAGCAGCGGGCACCTCACCCTGCTGCGTCTCCTTTACGAGATGCCCTGTCGCCTGCCTGGTCCAGAGCTTGCTCTGTCCCCCTCGCTGTGCGCTAGCTCCCGGGCGGGGGGTGTCCTGTTCGTGGCTGCCTCCCGGGCGGGGGGTGTCCTGTTCCTGGCTGCTCCAGGGCAGGGGGTGTCCTGTTCGTGGCTGCTCCCAAGGCAGGGGGTGTCCTGTTCATGGCTGCTCCAAGGCAGTGGGTGTCCTGTTCGTGGCTGCTCCCAAGGCAGGGGGTGTCCTGTCGTGGCTGCCTCCCGAGCAGGGGGTGTCCTGTTCGTGGCTGCTCCCAAGGCAGGGGGTGTCCTGTTCGTGGCTGCTCCCAAGGCAGGGGGTGTCC